ATGAGCATTAATAATTAAATATGTCGACGCTGGAAATGTAGACATGTCGTCTTCCTAACGTGCATTTGGAAAATATTTTAAAAAATCTAATTCTACTTTTATTTGTTAAATGGAAAAGCTGAACCTTTCACGTGCGCGAGTACATACTTTATGATATAGTTTGTTTTTTTATTCATTTACATTTGTATTCAGATGTTTTGTTTTTGTTACTCTCAGTTGTCTTGTAAATAGCCGCATATAAATACGTTTCTGAAAATCCCAAAGGATTATCAATCTCTTCTCCTCCTCCCTCTATTCAAAATCACCAGGCAAGCGTCTCGCCAACTCTAGTTTTCCATGTAACAAATAAAATTAGAGTTAGAATTTTTTTTCTTCAAAAAACTACTTTAAATATCTCTTCTGTAATATTTTCCAAAAGCAAGTTAAACGTTTTACCTTTGCAGTGTCGATGTAGTTATAGTATTACGTATAGTTTTTGTATTACGGAATATTTCTTGAAATCTTTTTTATTGATAAAAAAATCGAACGAGCACAAATAAAAATGTCTTCGACCCGATTGGGCTCGAACTAGCGACTGTTGCCTCAACGTGGCTACCGCTCCGCCAACTGAGCTACGGATTGAGCCCACAGATCTTAGGAATTTTTCTATGTGTTTTTTCTTTGTATTGGGCTTAAACAGCTTTTTTTATCGATGAGAACTTATGAAAGTTTTTTCACTCACCGTAGAATCCTTTGCCAAAGTATTGGCCAATTTTAGAGGACCTCTGGATATTATTTGACTTTAAATTCGCTGTTCAAATTTTTATTTATAATATTTGTAACTTTACGCATTGACACACTGCTGTCAAATAGGCTGAGACTACACTTCTCAACTACTACTCGAACACGGTAAATATTAGGATTTTTTGCGATGTTCAAACGTTAAAATTCATTAAAGACAAAACTAAAGCAAACATGCGAAAATATGTTTTAGAAAATATATTTTCTTTATGATACCACGAGACGGGATTAACAGGTCGTGCGCCTGATGGAAAGCGACACGCCTGCCCATAACAGTTGCAGTGCCACTCAGAATTTCAAATCGCAAAGATCGGAGGGATACTGCTACTGCGCCTGTCACCTTGAGACAAAAGTTGTTATTATGTTGTAACACAAACTACCAGAGCAGATGAACGTGTTCATCCTTGCAGCTAAACACAAACCCCGGCGAGTCCATACTCAAGTCCGGGTCCGCCAGAGACGCCCGTGAAGGCGTATCACTAACGGAGGGCTCAGCCCGGACGTCTACCCGCCGTACCCTGGTCTTACCGGGGAGCCCGCAATCTCCCCCCGAACTCGCTGTCTCAGGTCGGTGGATAGGGATATTCAGTGTCTATGGACAATTAAAATCACTTTAAACTGCGCATAACAAAATAATTAATTGGTATAAAATAAACGTCGGATTTATTTCGACCAGACCCTCTTCGCTAGTCAATTTTCAGAGCACACACTTTATTATTCTGCCAAATAGGTTACTTAAGCCCGAAATTAATTGCGTGAAAATGTATTTAATATTTTAAACCGCAGTTTACTTTATGTATAATGAACTCAAATATCTGTGTACAGATTGTAGAATTCTCTTAAAGAGGTGTGAGAAGCTTTCTTAGAAATCTATTCGATAACGCACACACACACACTCAACGCACACACTCAACATAGCCCCGCACTAGGGAAACCCTGTGTCGCGGGTGCTATGGACACACACATAGACAACCACAAATTACACCCAAACTCACGAGAGAAATAAATGTAGGCCATATAAATATTTCTCCCGATTCGATGATGTTAGTGGTCTTAAAGTGAGTTGGACGAATAACCTTGTAAGGTTGGTTCATTTTTTTCCACATTAGTTGGTGAGCTCTGAGAGTCGCTATGATATATTTTAGTTTCAGACTAAGTTTTGTAACCATAATTGGCCAAGAGAGTCACCAACATTCGGCTTGAGCCGATCACAAAAATCCTTATGTCCGAGTAAAAAAGCTGTTGTGAGTATCGCGTCAGGGCGGTCCGAGCGCAAGCGAAGCGCGCAACGTCTTTTTAGCTCTTATTGCGTACACATAAGCTTTCTCTGATCGACTCAAGTCGATTTCGCGTTAATAAGTGTGACAACTCCCTAACGTGTTTATTTTCGTTAACTTGAAGCTTTAAATAATTTGTGAATCACACCACTGCATCCAATGAAAACAAACTAAATTTCCTTCGCCGAATTTCAAGTAAATATGAACAAAATATTTGTGAAGTGAACACCCATACGGTCAATTGAATATTTGTTTTCCGAGACATATTGTGAACCTGGAACAATTTATATGTCCCCGGCGAGCGATCCGATCGTCCGATGAAATAATGATTGCTTTCGATTGCGACCCCAAATCCGGGATCGCCGGGTCGCCTCACTGGGACGTGAATCGATTGTACAAGAGAAGAACTATCTGTTGAACGTTCTCTTGCCATTTTTAGTGAGCTCTAATGTCTATTTACAAAGAGCGATCACTCTTACTACATAGGTATGTATGTTTTCTTATAGGGATCTACTTTCTTAAGTGATAGTCTTGATCAATTCGACGATTGTGTGTGATTGACAAGTGTATTTGTTTACCTATGAACTAAGATTTTTTTTAATTGGAATGCATTTTTTAAGTGTTATGATTGTAGAGTATCACATAAACAAACAGTACAATAATTATTGAGAAGATAAATAATATTTTTAGGAAACTTATTTTGTAAGAAAAAATTCATCGTCTTCAATCCATTTATACATCCCACTTTAGGCACGGGCCTCCTGTCTGGCAATGGTTTAGTCCGCCACCCTGGTCTAATGCGGGTTGGGAACTTGTGAAACTACTTCGATGTGCAGATTTCATCATGATATTTTCCATCACCGAAAAGCTCATGGTACATGTCATTTTGAATTTCGCACATCAATTCTGAAAAACTCATAGGTGCCAGACCGGATTCGAACGCATGGCCTTTGCTTGAGAGGCGGTAGGTCATAATAATTAAGAAACATGCAGATTTTTGTTTCGTACTTATTGAAAATATTACACTGCTCTAAATATTTTCTATTTTAGCTGCGAAAATAAAAAAAATATTTTGCTTCTGCGAAACAGTTTGTATGCTCTGAAATAAATGAAATAATTCTCTCTCTAATCCAAATTCCCAGATTACCCAGATAAAAACTAATTTTGAAAAGTTTGTTCCTGTGTTTGTGTTTTGAAACTGAGACCTCCTCATTGCTAACCGCTGGGCCACCGAGATTTTCAATTCGTTTTCCATTTACAGTCCCTTGCGAGACACGAAGTGTATGAAGAAAAACGACAGTCGGACGGTAATGCTGTGGCATATCTAACTTTATACTTAAAATTTGAATTCCACTGTAATTTTCAAAGTGTGTTGTTGGCTGTACCTTAAGTATGAAAAATTATTACCAGTAGTTAAATGTATCACACCTATGTCAATTCACGCCAATATACATTGTATTTTAACAAAATATTTTACCATTAAGGTTCTGGTTAAAAACATTTTCCTTTTAGCTAATAAAAACACAATGGCAACACCAAAGCACTTAATAGCAGAGAGCCATAGATGTTATTCTATCGCGCATTACGTCGGTCAATCCACTTACGGGCGCTAAGGCTCGGTCCAGGAATTTGATTGTGATTGATTTATCATTTCCACGACAATAAAATCTTTCTTTTTAAATTCTGCTAATGGATATGTTCTGTACGTTACTAATTGCAACTATCACGATCAATGTAGCGACACGTAAGGCATTTGAATCGAGTGTTTCTAATAGTTCCAATATGAATTCAATAGAAAGTAATATTTATATTTATTAAGTTGTACCATAAATATACACTAACTAAATGTTAATTATAGTAGCAGGTAGATACATAAAAAAAGTAAGAAAGTTTATAAATACAAAATTTCATCGAGTGTCGTACCCTGGGGCATCGTGCCCAGAAGGCTGGCAACATTTCCCCTTTGAATTGCTAAACTTATTCTTTGGCGGAAATAACTACCAGCCTTGTGGTCACCGGAGGCATCTATGCGGCGATCCGACAGCTCATTCGCTAGAAGTTTCTCTATGGTCACCAGGGACCCAGGGTTTCAACTGCAAAAGGTACAAAGCTGTGGTACTGAGCAAAATTGGCGTATTTGAGCCTTTTGGGGTTTCCGGCCACTCTGGCCACAGAGCCTGCGCCGCCCACGCTTGTAAGGGCATGGGAGGGGGCTTCAGTGTCCACACATACATTTATGCCCTTTCTAATAATAAGTATTTACGAGTATTAGTCGATTCTTGTCAAATATTATAATTTATAATATTACGCGGTACAGTTCCCTTATGCCGGCCATACACGCTACGGTATATCGGAGAGGTTTACCTGTGCAGGCGTACCTGTGCAGGCAGCCCGAACGTGTGTTGGAACAGACCTGTGCATTTTTGTATACCTGCACAGGTGATCGGCGCAAGATCGAAACTCAATTCTTTTGAGTGATACCGTACGGTGAAACTGTGCGCGTGTGTACTACGGTCGCCTGCGCAGGTCGCACCATGTGATTTCTAATTATGGTATAAGTTAGCGTCGATCGCATCGTACCGCTGTGCGTAATAAAAAATGACGACATCCAATTCAACTAATAAGAAAATACTTGAAAAATCATTGCATCGTCGTCGTCTTCCATCGATGCCATATCGAAATTAACCGAATACCGGATAGTCCCACATACACTACGACAAGAGGTCTACCTGCGCAGGTATGTCCACAGTGCACAAGTGCACAGGTAGTCCTCTCTGGTATACCGTAGCGTGTATGGCCGGCCTTAAGTACCTATATTAAATGCCATTTAAAGCTCTTCCTATCAACAAACTACTTTGTTTTCTTTCTAATCATGATGGTTTCTAGTCACCTTACCTGCGTTTTAATGAATACATTTCTAACCTGTTTGTGTTTCATTTTCAGGTACATTCTGTTGGAACCCGAGTGAAGAGAGAAATGTGTTTCAATAAGAACCTTATTAAGCTGGCGGATTACTTCCGACTGCATTATATGTCGCGTTAAAGTGAAACAAATTACGAAAATCTGCGAAATGATCTGCCATAGCAGAGTTCTATTCACAAAACTTTTATTGTGTTGCTTTGTATCCGGAGTGTGGGGGCGGTCGTGGGCAAATCATCATGATACCACAACATCAACAACGCAAACAACACCCACCACCACACCCACGCCGAAGAATTTCCACAACGACCCACTCGTTGTCGAGACAAAGAGTGGGCTCGTCAAAGGATACGCCAAGACTGTAATGGGCAGAGAAGTACACATCTTCACTGGTATTCCATTCGCTAAACCCCCTATAGGTCCACTTAGGTTTCGAAAACCCGTACCAATTGAACCCTGGCATGGGGTTCTCGAAGCCACTAGTATGCCTAACAGCTGCTATCAAGAAAGGTACGAATACTTCCCTGGATTTGAAGGAGAGGAAATGTGGAATCCTAACACTAATATTTCAGAGGACTGTTTGTATTTAAATATATGGGTGCCTCAACATCTAAGGGTTCGCCACCATCAAGATAAACCTCTTGCAGAGAGGCCAAAAGTGCCAATACTTGTTTGGATATATGGTGGAGGGTATATGAGTGGCACGGCTACTCTCGACCTGTACAAAGCAGACATAATGGCTTCCTCCAGTGATGTGATAGTGGCTTCCATGCAGTATAGAGTTGGTGCTTTTGGATTTTTGTATTTGAATAAATATTTTTCCCCTGGAAGCGAGGAAGCACCCGGTAACATGGGTCTGTGGGATCAACAATTAGCGATACGGTGGATTAAAGAGAACGCTCGGGCGTTTGGTGGAGATCCAGATTTAATAACATTGTTTGGGGAGTCGGCGGGTGGTGGGAGTGTGAGTTTACACATGCTCTCGCCAGAGATGAAGGGATTATTCAAACGCGGTATATTACAATCGGGAACATTGAACGCTCCATGGAGTTGGATGACTGGAGAGCGGGCACAAGTTATTGGGAATGTTTTGGTAGATGACTGTAATTGTAACAGCACCTTATTGGCCGTCGATCCGAGTTTGGTTATGGACTGCATGCGTGGTGTCGATGCTAAGACAATATCGGTTCAGCAATGGAACTCGTATACTGGTATATTAGGGTTTCCATCTGCTCCAACAGTTGACGGTGTCTTTCTCCCCAAGGACCCTGACACTATGATGAAGGAAGGCAATTTTCATAATACAGAAGTGTTGCTTGGGAGCAACCAAGATGAAGGTGAGTGATCCGATTTAAAATTTTTTTTATACAACTAAGTGACGGGACGAAGAAGTCTTGCATCTGGTGGTAACACGCCCAACCCTAACAGTTACAGTGCCACTCAGAGTTTTAAACCACAAAGATCTAAGGGGCACTGTCACTGCGCCCGACACCCTGAGACATAAGTCGGCAAGTCCCATGTGCCTATAATTTCACCAATCATATTATATCAGTAGGTACTAATGGTCATCTACACATATATGAGTATTTGCTTTGTATTTCCTAAACTGAAATTTTCAAATGTTATACATAATATATTTACAAAAAAAATAAACCTAATATAATATAAATAAAAAATAAATAAACGTCATCAAGTTGCTGCGTAGAAAAGTAGCTCTTTATTCCATTTGGAAGTAGACGGACGTTCATTTAAACGACGAAAATTGTTTTATTGCGTGTTAAGGCGGACGCTCATCACCGTAACGGCATAGTTCCGACAAACGCCGCATAGATTTATAGCGATAAAAAATGTCTTTTATGCGGCTACATGAGATCGAGGCCGATTTGCGTCTTGGTACAGGTCTGGTCGACAGAGTCCGCGCCTGCGCAATACGGTATAGACACAACAACAACACGCGCTGTACTAGTACTACCAAGTACTACAGACTCGCCCACGTACAGGGAGTCCCCGCCCCCCATGCCTCCCACCACGGCCACTGTTGCTACGTACCCCCTAGAGAAACCTTCTGCTAACTAGACTCTATTAAAACGTCGTGCCGTAGGGAAATACTGTTCTCTTTAGCAAGTTAGACTAAACTTTTTATTTTTCCTTTTCCGAAGCAAATGCTTGAGACTAGGCGTCGGCGTAATAACGTGGTTTTATTTCTCTGTTACGTTTAAACAAACAAATACCTGCGTAGATAAATAAATAATACACGTGACGCGTTTAAAATCCTTATAGCAACAGGAACACTTATACCATTTTTCCTTCAGGTCAAATATGGCGCACAAAATACGCGACAATTGTTTGCCATTTTTGATTAAACTTTGAAAGTTCTCATCTCTAAAAGTATTGATTGTGACTTGCAATTATCGCCAAATATTCTATAGTTTTATGGAGTATAAATGACGCATTCTACAATTTTTTCACCGAAATAGTGCAAAGATGTCCCAAATATCAATCAAAACATTTACGTAAGCACTTGAAGCATGTCTTCAATCGATAATAGTTTTGAGAAGAACAGTAAATTTGAAATAAAAGTATATGTTAATATAGGAAATGAAACTATTTTTCCGGATTTAAATCGCGTATATTTGTTTTTTCAAACAAACCGACGTTTCGGGCCCTTTACAGGTCCCATGGTCACGGTTGACTGAGGTGGTACAGTCTTCAACCAGTTATGTATGTATACTGTACCACCTCAGTCAACCGTGACCATGGGACCTGTAAAGGGCCCGAAACGTCGGTTTGTTTGAAAAAACAAATATACGCGATTTAAATCCGGAAAAATAGTTTCATTTCCTATGTGTAACAATCGCGAAAACCTAAGAACTCTATATGTTAATATTTGGTAAATTTCAATATTTGGGAGCATCCTATAATCGCAATCTTCGCTCAGACAGCAAATTGACTTTTTAAATTCCTTCTCACCGTACTGGTTTTCTTTCTAATTCATTTACTCTTTAAGCAATACGACTCTGGAACGCTCTACCGCCCCATATTCAAAAAGCGCTGAATAAACTAGCTTTCAAGCAATTAGTCCGCGATTTCATATTGGAGTCTGAATCTACATCCCTATAGTCTGATATTGTTATATATAAATATGTATATTAAATATATATTGTATGTATTATATATTTATGTTTATATAGATTGCATATATAAGTATAGTTAGTCATATAATACTATGTGCTATGTTTATATTGTGTTTAAACTATATATCATAATTATTTATAAACTTCTTCCTATCTGTTTTCATTATCATGTTATGCACCCCTGTTAATGATTTTGAATCCAGTTCTCGGTTGACTGGTAGAGAATGCCTAATGGCATTAAGTCCGCCATTTGTACTGTTTTGTGTGCAATGAAGTTTAAATAAATAAAATAAAATAAACTAATATATTTATTCTTAAACATATTATACAACACACAATACATAAAATATGCAATATCGTTATCCATAAGATAAACAAACAAAGATCATGTTCGAACATTTTACTGCAGTCAAAGTCTGTCCTGAGGGTGCTATTGCGTCGTATATATTCATCCCACATTCAATTCCTAGCAACAACTGCTGAGGTCATAGGAATACTTTTTATAAATGTAAATTCGTGAAAACCACACAAATTGTTTAAATTCATCTATAAATTAACTGTTACTTGACCATAGCAGGGAGTCACAGATTTTCATGTCAGCATGGATAGCAGAATTTATTTCATTACTGGTGCAGAAAATAACACGTGTACTTTGAATATAAAACATATTTAATGCACAAATAAATAATGAAGATCAAGTGCGGGTAGTTAGAAAAACTCGCACGGCTAAAAGATGCTGACACCCGCCTCTTCAGTGCCTTCGAGACCATGGACGTTGCAATACGTCCGAAACGTCTATTTATACGTGAGTCCCGAATTAAAAATCAAATAATAATACGTGTGTTTTCTGTTTATTTTTAATAATTAAATGTTGATTATTAGTATCTGGCTTTAAACTTATCCAATGACATGATTCAGCGTAAGAAAAATATAAAAACAAAACTGAAAACCCCATTACTATTTATACAATTTTTTTCAATTTATACTCTGTTGTATTTCCGGACACAAAAACATTATTTGAATTTTGGTCCTCTTTTCTTGTAATGTTTTTACAAGAATGGTACCTATGTATTTCAGCGAGAGTACCTCGTAAGAATAAAACGTCGTACCCTTTCCATCTACGAAAACTAGTCTTGAGCCAAGATTTCAACCTTACGTTATTGGCATTCACGAATTCGCACGAAGCGTTTTTCTTTCTCTTATCGTATGGAGTTATTTGCGCATTGATCTGTTCTTCAACAAATATATATAACGTGGCTTCTTTCAAGGTGCGAGTGAACAGGCACTTTCTAGACAAGCCTACTCACGCTCCATCTTTAATCATATCGTCAATTACCATCAAGCGAGGTTGTTGTAGAACCTTTGCTTTGTTGTAGAATATTTTATAAAAAAAGAAACTTTTACATTAAGACTTTTGAAATTTTTTGTCTGTACTTAGTACCTATGTATGTAAGAGACGTAAGATTGAGAAGGGTGTGGACTCGTAGCTAGAGAAAAAGGCTGTGTTTTAGGAGACAGGTATTTTATTACTAGGTTCAGATGTATGGAGTGGTTTTTCACGGTAATGGAAAATGTTTTAACGGTCGGTAATGTACCTTTGTTCTGGTAGGTCCAAATAAATTATGTGATCAAATTAAATTTGGGTTTGTTTTAGATAATGAACAGCTTATTTAGTTCATACAGAAATAACTAACGTTATTTTATTTTATACGGTATAATAACAGATAACAGACTACAAATATTTCTTTTTTTTTTTGTAAAAAATAAGTGCACGTTTGACCTCCATCTCAATTCTCACCTGATGGAAATTGGTGATGAAGACGTCGATATAGCATGCACATCTAATTAATGCCTATTTACTCTCGCTTTGAATAGGTCTGAGTTAGACTTACCTATTACATATGTAACATTATAAATTTGATATCCAATTATAATTGTACATAACATTCATATTAGGAAAATATAAAATAATAATAATATAAATAAATATATAATAATATAAAAGGAAAGACGTTAAACAAAATAGGGCCGCTATTTTTTACTTATACTAGTGTACATTTTGAAGCACTTAATACTACAGAAAAATGTCATGGTGGGATGCTATTATACGATCGATTTGTGAAACATTGTTTTTTGTAAGAGGTGCGTATCCCACAGCTGAGCAGCTGTGGGATACGCACGGAGCGAGTAGGTACTCTAAAATACAGGTCGCACTTGACTACTATCATAGTAATATCTCAAAAATTGCATTATATTATATTTTACCTCAATTTTGCGTTATATAAATAATTTATCTCCAAAATTTCGCTATATTGATGTGTCATTCATATACGATTTAATTTCAAAATGACGTGACAACTGTCGCTTTGAAACTAAATAGGTAATATTAATATAAATTAAAGCCATTTTGAGATGATACTATGTTAGTTGTCATGTACGAGGTAATCGATCAGCTGAGAATTCAGGGTACAATCAACAATTTCATGCAAAGTATATAGGTCTGACATTTGCCTACGATCCTCGAGACTAATCATGTTGAATTTGCGTAAGCGATCGGTGTAATTAGACAGCTAACGTTGTCGTCCGTATTTTGCACTTAAACATCTCAAGAATCAAAGTTGATCTAGTGTTACGGAGGATTAAAGATAACAACCTACATACACACATCAAAAAAAGTTTGCGATCACTTTTAAAACTTGAAATATTTTTTAATTTCTAAAAATATTTCAAAAACCTCTTTAGTGATACTATTATTTGTTTTTAATTTTAATTATTTGTTTAATGTTGTACTTTTAACAAAAAACTATTTATTACATATTTCTTAATAATATTTCCACATATTAAAAATATGTTAAGTTTTCAAACTGATCGCAAACTTTTTTTGATGTGTGTAGGTTGTTAAGCACATGCTTTATTGCATATGAAGTCTTAATGGGGCCTAAACGAAAGCACTGCATCAAACATGACACCCAAGTCCCTCCCAACGCTTCCGATACACCACTGTTAATGCTGTAAGCATAATTCAATGGCTTTTTGTTTCTGGTGAAAGTGAAGCTCACACTTTTTTGCATTCAGAGTAATGCAGCTGTTGTTGCACAATTTGTTATTATGTCAAGATTGAATTGAACAGCCAAACAATCCTTCAAGTAATTCATTCGACACAAAATTTTGATGGCGTCAGCGTATGCCAGACATGCACACTT